TGGCTGGAAAACACACACACACACACACACACACACACACACACACACCTCTGCTCAAAGATGGGGCCTGATAAATACCAAAGAATACAAGGTGCCTTAATGGACATTTGGATCAGGCTCTTACAGAGATATTCATTCCAAAAGCTTATTATTGGTTTGGCAAGTGAGCTTCATGAGCCATTGCAGGAGTGTATCTTCCTTAATAATTACCAAACGAGGAGGGTTTTTTCTTTCTTTCTCTCACTTCCCCAACCCCCTGCACAACAGTCACTTGCTGCAGATGGTCTGGATTAATGTGTCACCACTGATATCCATGTCTCACTTCCAAACCTAAATCAAAGCATTAAAAAAAAAAAAAAGATTTTGGAGGATCAGCTGTTGCTATGGCAACGCATGCTATTTTGGTGCTGCAGAGAAATCAATACTCACCCCCCCCACATGCACACACACACTGTGTCTTTTTATCAGACAGAATTTCAATAATCATGGTAGAATATGATAGTCAAATGAATTTCCCGGAGAAACACTGCAGATGATCTACACAACTCTGCATATCAGATCCCCCCCCCCACCCAACTGCAAAAAAATCAGTTCTTTAGAGCATATTGTTCTGCAGCGGTTGATTTATATAGGATGAAGGCAACAGGTAAAGATATTTACCTGTTTTTACCCGTGCCAGCATTTTTTCTTATGCCTAGACATGTTGAAATGCTCTTAGCATGTGCACTGTCCCATTTGTTCAAAAGAGAAATGGAGAACTACCAGCACAAAATGGAAAACCTCCAGGCAGCCCTTCCTACCTGGTCCTTGGAACTCTCCCCAGCAACACACCCTCCTTTGCCACACCTCCTCTCCCCAGGACACACCCCCTTCCCAGCCATGCTTTGCATCCTGCTTGACTGTTTTTTCCTGGCTGGAATAATTCCTTGAACTCTCATCATGCTTCTTGTTCGATTAATGACAGAGAAGGCTGTGCAAATCTGGGTAGAAATTTGCATAGAGTACAAAGGTGACATTTCTTTGTCCATTTTTGCCTCTGGTCCTGCCTGTCACCAGCATGTGGCAAGCAACCATTGATTTATCATTATACACAGTGATAAACGTACTTCCCCCAAAGCAACATGGTATAGCATTTTGTTAAGATCAGCTGCCATGTCCTAGAATAGTGAGCTGATGGGTTGGGCAGGGCTTACCCCACTGGACTTTGGCTGAGAAGACTTGATCAGCTATGAAGTTCAACTTGGGCTAGTCACTGTCTGAGCCTAGCCTACCTGACAGAGAGATCATGTGCCAGGCCTGACCTGTCCTTCAACTCCCCAAGGATACAACAATGTCAAATACTGCTCCAGCAGATGACACCATTGCTTCCTCTGGGAAATGTGCTGGATCTGCACTCACCCATGATCCTTCTCTGCTACACCATTGGTCAGCATGCCAGCTATCCATGGCCTTGGTGGGTGCACTGCTGTCATGTGAGCACTGCATGTTAATGGTCCAGCACATGTGGAATTGCATATAAATTCACATAAGTGCACATGGAATCAGAGCCATTTTCACAGAATGAGGTGGTAGAGGAGTTCTTGGACTGTACCACTTCAGCGTATATAGGTGATGTGTTGCATTTCTGAGTCTTCTCTAACATAGAAAAACTTTCTGAAGTTGTAAAAGTAACAGATCAGAGAGAAAACTTTAGAACAGGGATGTCCAACAGGTCAATTATGATCTACTAGTAGATCCCTGTGAGGTGATCTACTGGTAGATCTCTGTGAGGTTTAGGTAGATTCCAGTCGATCTCTGGCTCCCTTTCCTTAGCATTGCTAAAACTGACTCCTGCCTTGCCCCCTTGGCCCACCCTCAATTGTTGTTTGATCTCTGGAAGGGAAGACTGAGCTTTCTCTGTGCTGCTGTTTTAATTCATAGTGATTTTTTTGTGAGACACTTTACCCCTTTGTCCTTTGCCTTTAACAACCTCCCCCCAGAAATGGAAGTCCCCCCCCCAAAGCTTTTTTAACCCCTAAAAAACGGGGGGCTTTTCTCCTCCCAACAACTTTGAACTGAACCGCCCAAAATGGGGGTAGATCACTGCCAGTTTTTAATTCTGAAAGTAGATCACAGTTGCTTGAGAGTTGGCCATCCCTGCTTTAGAAGAACCCTGTCCTTTGTGCTAGTTCAGACCCTTGAATAGATGGGTATGACATACTTGTTTTGTGCACCAAATTCCATATATATGTTTCCTTTGAGTCTCCATGCAAAGCAGAAGCCGAGAATCTAATAGACAATCCTGTTAATCCTTTTACCTCCATAATGACACCAGCCCCAACTTTTTATCCGCCCATCAAGCAAAAATCTGTTTTTCCTTCCTGTTTTAATTTGTTGTTGTTTACGGTTATGCCTTTTGATTAAATCTCTGGGTTAATTTTAAAGGGTGTCACAATCAGCCCGGAAGCTATAATCCCTTTCTTAGTTCAATATCTTTATGAGGGTGAAAGGATGTTAAATGTGGCAGTTAAAATGCTAAGCTAAGTAATCAGTTCATTAGGAGTTGGTTCAATATGTTTGCTGTCTGTAGATATAGCTGTTAAAAGTGGACTCATATAAATCAGTGAGTAGTTTAGGGTATGAAGATGCTAAACTCTCCAAAAAGAGCAACTGGGGCACTGGTGGGAAATTTCGAGTCTGCAGTCCTTTTATGCATGTCTGCCTACCTTGAGATATATTTAATCAGCTGCCAGTAAAAGTAAAAATAATAATTTATTATTTCCACCCCACCCATCTGGCTGCAAACAAAACCCATAAATGCTGGGAATGAAATATGCAAAGTTCACGATCTATGTCTTTTTACTCTCAGCAAGAACCCAGATATATATGAACCCTTCATATAAATATGAAAATAAAGCATCAAAGCAAAGTGTTTGAGAACACTGTGTGTGTGTGTGTGTGTGTGTGTGTGTGCGCGAGCACACACACACACAAGTGCTTCTCCAGCAGTCTTTGACTCATTCTCTACTGTTGCCCTATTGAGCATGGAACTCATTTAGTACAGGAAAGGTCAATCCATAAAAGCCTACAGATGTTGCAGCGGTGGTCGGGCATCTCCAATGGTTTTGTTTGGGTAACAAAGATTTATAGGAGGAAGGAACAAGGGGAAAGCCAAATCAAATCTGAAAACTCAATAGCATGACTGAACTTAATAAACGAGTGTCAGGGAGAAAGGAGAACTGCATGAGATAGTGAGGAAGCAGGTGATAAGGTGACAGAACCAGAGCATCAATAAGCCAGGTGTCTCTTGAGGGAAGAAGGGGTAGCTATGTGCACAATGTCTCCCTGGGGAAGGGCAATAGCTCAGTAGCAGACCACATACTTGGAATGCAAAAGGTCCCAGGATCAATTCCTAGCACCTCCAGGAAAGACTGGGAGAGGCTCCTGCCTGAAAACATGAAGAGCCACTTCCAGCCAGGGTTGACAATACTGAGCTGGATGGAATAATGGTCTGATTTGTTATAAAAGCCGCGTCTTATGTTCCTTGGAACACTTTAAGGAAATAGGTAGGATTGCATATCTACATATTCAGTTCACAGAATCATAGAATTGTAGAGTTAGAAGGGACCTCGTAGGGACATCTAGTCCAACCGCCTGCAATCTACCGCCTGACCTCTCTACCACTAGACAAGAAACAAATATCCATAAATGGTGCTTTCAGAAGCAAAAAACAACAACACACACATTTTTGCTGTTACAGATAAGCGTCCCCATGAATATATGTGTTCCTGATTTGGTCTAAAAAGAAGAAAAGACAAGAGTGACAAGTTGTTCTGCAACATATTGTGCAAATCACAATGGACCAGGTGGACATATAAAAGCTACCAAGTATTTGCTTTGAATGGGGAGCGTGATGAACACTAATTGGACTGAATGGATGTATAATAGCTGGACTGTCTGCTTTGAATTTTGGATCATGATGAGCACAGGGGAGCCATGCACAATTTAAGCAGGTCTGCTTGCCTTTAAATGGAGAACAATGTGGAATCCAGGAATCAGCATTCAAATTAATAGCTGATATAATTCTAACATTGATTAAAACTGGTATTTCTTCTTCTGTTGGAAAGTCCCAAAGATGCCATATCTCTTTCAGTGGAACAAGGACATCCATGGAAACAAATTTAAAACCCATCCCTATCTGCTACATAAAGATTCCTCTGCACACAGAAAATGATACCATACCAGGGAGAAATTTCTTGCCTAGTCTGTTTTAGCTTAAGTTGGATTTAATTCAATGCCATCTTTCATCCAAAAAGATGTGGTTCACAATGGTCCTGATATGGTTCACAATGGTCAAAAGAAAGCCAGTGTGGTTTAGCAGTTACTGTGTTGGATTAGGACCTGGGAGATCAGGGTTCAATCAGTCAGCCATCAAGCTCACTGGGTGACCTTGGGGCAACCATAGTCTCTCAGTCTAGCCTACCTTACAAGATTATTGCAAGGATAAAGAAGTGAGGAGAAGGGAAATAAGTGTAATGATTAAGTACAAATACAAAACTCAAATGCAGCAGTCTAAAACCTACTGCAATTTATTTTCAAATATTGGGGAAGAAGAAGAAGAGTTTGGATTTGATATCCCACTTTATCACTACCCGAAGGAGTCTCAAAGCGGCTAACAGTCTCCTTTCCCTTCCTCCCCCACAACAAACACTCTCTGAGGTGAGTGGGGCTGAGAGACTTCAGAGAAGCGTGACTAGCCCAAGGTCACCCAGCAGCTGCATGTGGAGGAGCGGGGACATGAACCCGGTTCACCAGATTATGAGTCTACCGCTCTTAACCACTACACCACACTGGGGAGAAGATCTGTCTTCTTTTGCTGGAGTTTCCTAAGTTTTGTATAGGGACATAGGAAGCTGCTTTCTACTGAGTCCGACCATTGCTCCAGCTAGCTGAGCATTGTCTGCATGGACTGGCAGAAGCATTCCCCAGGATTTCAGACAGGGTTCTTTCCCACCCCTACTTAGAGCTGCTGAGGATTGAACCCGGGACCTTCTGCATGCAAAGCATATGCTCTACAACTGAACTACAGTCATTCCCTGACACCTCCAAATCACATGGAGGACTCTAACCATGTTCAGCTGGATGTTCTGAGATTTCCCATTCAGACATTCCTGCTCAGTGAGCAAAGATCTAGGGCTACAACCGGTGGGAATAGGGACACTGGATCCTGGGCGAGTAAACAGTTTTCCCTTTGCCTCCATGTGTTCTGGGAAAGGGTCTCAACAGGATCCCACTGTTTCCTGCCCTCTTACGGAAGTCAGAGGAAAGGGATTCTAACTTAAAGAGTGATCAGACTTGCCATTCTTTGTTGAGTTTGTGGGCTTGTCGCTGACGCTATTTAATCAGCGCTGCTCCAAACAATGTGAACCTTTTGGAATTCACCCAGTAAATTGTGCAACACTGTACATGGGCATTAAAAATTGCTTCCCGACCCCACGGATCTCCGCAGGCAAGATTTATATTACATTTAGCATGCCTAACTATAGTTGTTATTATTGGCCCTAACAGCACTTGTTACAGTTCAACAAATATGTCTTCATCAATTTCAGTTTGAGAAACAGGCTGCGTCTCCTTGAATAAGCGTGACCAAACACAATGCAGATTTAAAGTGATGGGGCCACTTCCTGACATGTCTGATGGATTCGGAGTTTAGCCTGTACAAAAATAATTCCTTGTTCGGCAGAGTATTACAAATAGTTAGTAACAGAAAACGATGCTGACTTGGTTGCTAATGTTTCCAGTGAGTTGCAATCTGCACAATGGGGGCCGTTTCTGATCTGAAAGTTACACTAAAGTACAAGGAGTGCGACGGTCACAGGCATCACTACATAATAAAAGGATCCATAACTAAGATATGTACAAAGAAGAACAGTTCATTCAGTGGGATCCTATTATTTTTCTAGATCACTAAGAAATTGCATTTTTTTTAACCAAAAGGAGAGAATTCCACATACACATCCAGCCAGTTCAGAGCTGATCGGTTCCCTTGCCTATTATGTCTGTCTCACTGAATATCTCATCTAGCTTTATTGTCCTGTCAGAGGGATCTTCATTTCCAGGTTTCCTCAACTTGCTTCCATGCTCCTTCCTTCTAGGTATGTGGAGGGGAGCTGATCTTCTACAACATTGGGGGCTAACCTATGGCTGTCCAGATGTTGGGTGCAACTCCCACCAGCCACTTGCCAACATGGTCAATGGTTAGGACCGAGGGCTGTTGGTTTCCAGCAAGACATGGACAGACACAGATTAGCCATCTCTGCTTCATCATGCCAGTACAGAGCCACAGGTATAATTCTGTGTTAGGAATGCTCAATTATTTTATTTAGTCAATATTTCCATGTGCTTTGTGGATTAATTTGCAGATCAAAACTACATTCTTCTTCATTTTTCACATTTCTCTGAATTTTGTGATACAGTTCTCAGCTCTGAAAAGTACCAAAAAGCATAGAAAATGAATATTTTCAAGGTGGGAGGGAGGTTTAAAAAGCAATGCAAATTTTACATTTGCAGATTGATGTGGAAATGTGACGGAATGGGCATGAACAAACACATGTGGAACTGACATAGAACAGAAGTTAACTAATCCAACAATTCATATATTGGATTTGCTTGAGGGAGAACCTGCTTCGAATCACTGAATGAATGCAAATGTTTGCCTTAAATAAGTCACTGCCTCTCGACTTAATCCATCTTAAAAGGGTGTCATGAAGATGACATTGAAAAATGGCAAACAGTTTATCCATTGGAAAGTAATTTAGGAAGAGAAATTATTTACAAATTGGTTTTTTAAAATACAAATCTCATTCCTTACAGCAGTACAACCAGGGTCTCCCACTACTCCCAACAATACCCATCCAGTTTCTGGGTTTTTCTCCTTCTGGTGTATCTCTTATCATCCTCATTTAGAAGTCTAGCAGTGCGTGAATGTGGAACAAAGAAAGGCTAATATTCTATAAGGTGAGCAAATGGAGGAGAGAGTTGACACTGAACTTTGCCTAGGGCAAAATGCTGATGTCCCATGCTGATGTCTGCAGATTCTATCCACCTAAGTCATACTCAGTTTAGACCCAAGTGGATGTGACTATCTTAAGTCCATTGATTCTGAGTATTACTTAGTTGTGGATACAAACCAGTATCTGCAGACTCAATTTAAGACTAAGTGTATGGTTGGTTGGTTTGTTTGTTTGTTTGCTGGAAAACAAGTTTTTGTTGAACTTTTTCATAAATACATAAACAGCAAATTAGTGCAAAATCACTGCCTAGGTAGTGATGGATACAGAACAACAACAGCATTCTGAATTTGTAGGTCTGCTGAAACTACTGAGTCAAACTAAAGGAGAGATGGGATGTCAGAGGTCAGAGTGCCTTTATCTTTGTTATTAGCATATATAATATATTGAAACCATGTATCAGAGAACTTGTATTTCTCCCCCGTCTTTCCGACAGCTCTATGCTAACTTCTCATTTGCAGTCAATTGGCAGGCCCTGGCATACCAGAGAGGTTAGCAAGATCCATCTGGTGACATACTCTTTCTTATCTAGCAGTCACCAGTAGCTTCAGCATCAGATCTCTGTAGACCAGAGGCTTCTTAACCTCTTCCCTAAAAATAGATAGAAGAGCAAGCTGAGGTTCAGGAGTGAAGGGCGGCTGTACAATTTGACTAATACATGTAAAAATTAATGCCTGGTAAGCCCCCGTCCTAGGCCAAGTTCATCGTAAGTGAGATAGGCTGCCTTTCTTCTTATGTTCCTCTGTTAAAAACAGTGAGACAGATTGGTCCCAATATTATTCCGTTGAGGTGAATAAAGGTATATCAAATATAATGTGAATTTAGGACTGGATGCAATTACTATTTTACAGGCTTCCACTTCAAGGCTTTGCTTTCAAAGCTTTGCACCTGTGCCCTGTTCCATGTCATTGTGACAGAAGCACTTCTTGGCTGGCAGCTGTAAGCTTTCTAGAATGCTGATATATATATGTCCCATGTCCTAGGCCACCTGTGGTGTTTATTGACTGTAATGAAAATCCCCAGGACTTTGGGATGCTGTTCCATGACGGAAGATCAAATTATGAGACTTTCTATGCCACCCCAAAGAAGTGACTATAAAAATAACTCAGTGCTAGTAAGGATTCAAAGTTTCACTGAGAAGCAAGAAACCTTTTTTGAAGCAAGATCCTGGAAAACAGAGAACCTTCAGCTTGAGGGCTTCATCCCTTGGTAGGGAATCATCTGAGGCCAGTTTTGGGCAGATCCAAAGGGGAAAGCGGATGGGACCAGAGGCAAAAGTAGGCCAAGTAACAGGTGTGATTTTTGCCTAGAGATGTGGGTGGCGCTGTGGTCTAAACCACTGAGCCTCTTGGGCTTGCTGATGGGAAGGTTGGTGGTTTGAATACGTGTGATGGTGGTGAGCTCCCGTTGCTCTGTCCCAGCTCCTAACAACCTAGCAGTTCAAAAGCATGCCAGTGCAAGTAGATAAATAGGTACCACTGCAGCAGGAAGGTAAACAGTGTTTCCGTGCACTCTGGTTTCCGTCACAGTGTTCCATTGCGCCAGAAGCTGTTTAGTCATGCTGGCCACCTGACCCGGAAAGCTGTCTGTTGACAAAACCAGCTCCCTCAGCCTGAAAGTGAGATGAGCGCCACATCCCCATAATCACCTCAGAGGCAGAGTTAGCTGCTCTGGCACCAGGAGTGGTGTGCACCCGGGGGACAAGGCTAGCCACCCAGGGGGACAGGAAGAGCATCCCAGGGGGGTGGGGCGAGCAACCTGAGGGGGTGCGCCGTCTGTGGCAAGCGTCCCAGGTGGTGTGTTGCCCATGGCGACAGTCTCGGGCGGTGCACCGTCTGCGGCATCCCAGGGAGGCGCTGCCCATGGCGAGCTTCCGGGGGGGCAGCACAGCAATGTCACCCACCCCCAGGGATGACACCCGGGGCGGGCCACACCCACCTCGCTCCGCTTCTGAATCGCCTTTGACTGGACTTAACCGTCCAGGGGTCCTTTACCTTCACCTATGATTTTTGCCTACATTACAGCCATGCAAAACTCTGAGGCTTCTACACACCTCTCCATCCAGGCAAGAAGAGACATTATTGCTATGCAAGACCACATTTCAGCCAGGCTAAAGTTCTCAAGGAAAGGCACAGAGCAGAATCAGTGACCAGCACAGCCTTGGGAGAGTCTCAAGGGCCAGAGAGAGAGGTCTGGACCTGAGGATCCTACCCCTGCTGTAAATGGAAGGTATATTTTATTATTCCACAGGCTCCCTCTGCTATGCCTTCCATTCCTCCTGAAGAAAACCCAGAGAGGAACTGAAGGCACTCAACATTGTGGCAAAACAGATTTTGCACGGTGCTCTCTACAAAAATAAAAAATAAAATCTGGAACAATGGAGAATCCAAAATGGTTCTGGATTTTGAAAGAAAACCAGGCAACTGAGAGGTTCAAAAATCTCAGGTAAGGGGGATTTCAGAAGCAACCCTAGATTCCCTATTTTGTCAAAGGCTACACTGTACTGATGAACCAGGCCCAAATCAAGAAACCTAACTCAAAAACATGGAACTGGGAAAGGGTTGGGAATAGACTGCAACAGATACTTTCAGCATAATCTCCAATTAAGCAGCCGTATCTTGTTGGACTGTCAAATCCTGTCAGATCTCTTCAGCTAAGCAGGGTCAGATGGTGCCACTGACAGCTTAAGGAAGATGACATCTAGAGATAGCTCAAACCAGGTTGCTGGTGGCTCAGTAGGTGGCACTCCTCCCACATGAGATAGCTGTAAGCCTTTGATCTTACTATGTGTGATGGTTGGTTGGTTTCTAATGTAGAGCTGAGGATTCTCCATTGTTCAGGGTTTTTGAGGAAGGCAGCATTTCATGAAGGACAGTGTTCCATCAGGACAAGCATTTGGACTTGCCAAACAGCACAATGTCCCCTCTCTCCCCGAACCTGTTCTAGGGGTTCTCCTGACACCACCACCCCAGACAATTTCAGGGGGCCCCAAAGTGGAAGGAGAGGAGGGCAAGCCCACTGACAGGAC